ATATGTGTACATCATAAATGTGTTAGCATGGATCCTGAGAGCATCTAATGGTCCAAAATAAAGAGAGTACAACAAAGAAGAGCCCGCCAAAATAAAGAGAGTACAATAAAGAAGAGCCCGCCAACAGAAAACAATGAGCCCGTTTATCTGATTGATGCAACCCCCTACCAGAAAACCCCACCGATGCTCCTTATCAGAGACTAAGAATTGGTAATATAATAAAGCTTTATGTTCATCCTGTAAGTATTCCTCGTTGTTGAATGAGCGAGCTATCTGGCTATGACGATTCACCCTCTCTCTGATAGTCTTGCCTCCCTCTGCCGATAAGAAATCCCCTAAGGATTCAAGGCTGACAACCAGGCTAGAACAACTGATCAACAAAGCCTAGCCAGCTGAGTCAGTTCTGTTAACCCAAAACGAATCAAGCTTAGCTAACCGACTACAACGACTTAGCCTAACAGATCAAAGCGGCCTTACTTGGTCTAAGCCAAACAAGCTTAGTCGAAAAAGCAAGAGAGAAGCAGGAGAAGCATAGCAAAAGCCTCATATACATAAAATATCCAGAAATCATATTACCCCCATTAAACAGGGGCTAAAATGTACTATCACTATGTTGTGTCCTCCTCCCTATAAATAAATAGATCAATTTATGATAATAACCTAATAGACAAGACGTTTTACCATTCAATATTATTCACTCTTCTTTCTTTCTCCTATCTTACACTGTTTTCTTGGGTCAAATCAAGATTCAATAATAGGGTTGTTTTCCAAAATAATTAAAAAATATTTTTGAGTATTTTTAAAAACATATTTATTTATATTTAGAAATAAAAAATAAAAAAGAAAAAAATAAGGTGCTTTTGCATAAGTCCCACCCAATTCCCATGTATTCACATATCAAACACTTGAAACCTCGATTTCAATGTATATGACACCTCTTCAATAAACAAGTTTTCGTTCTCCATGTTAAGGAAGACAAATTATTCCGCAAGTTTGTTATTCCAAAATAAAGAGAGTACAATAAAGAAGAGCCTGCCAACAGAAAACAATGAGCCCGTTTATCTGATTGATGCAACCATCTTAGTCATAGCAAGCAAGACCAAAGCCAACGAGGCATTAAAGTGGCCAAATTGGAGACATGATGTCAGAAACAAGAGAGAGATATTCAAGTCCACCTCCACAAGAAAGCCGGCCAAGGCAACAACCTACCTTATAGTAGATCCATCCCGATGAAAGAATCTGGATTCCTCACTATAGCCAACCTTCCCGCAAACACCCCTGATGCTCCTTATCAGAGACTAAGAATTGGTAATATAATAAAACTTTATCTTCATCCCATCAGTATTCCTTGTTGATGAATGAGCGAACAGTCTCGCTACGACGATTCACCCTCTCTCTGATAGTCTTGCCTCCCTCTGCCGATAAGAAATCCCCTAAGGATTCAAGGCTGACAACCAGGCTAGAACAACTGATCAGCAAAGCCTAGTCAGCTGAGTCAGTTCTGTTAACCCAAAACGAATCAAGCTTAGTTGACCGACTACAACGACTTAGCCTAGCAGATCAAACCGGCCTTACTGGGCCTAAGCCAAACAAGCTTAGTCGAAAAAGTAAGAGAGAAGCATAGCAAAAGCCTCATATACATAAAATATCCAGAAATCATATTACCCCCATTAAACAGGGGCTAAAATGTACTATCACTATGTTGTGTCCTCCTCCCTATAAATAAATAGATCAATTTATGATAATAACCTAATAGACAAGACATTTTACCATTCAATATTATTCACTCTTCTTTCTTTCTCCCATCTTACACTATTTTCTTGGGTCAAATCAAATAATTAAATATTTTGAGTATTTTTAAAAATATATTTATTTATATTTAGAAATAAAAAAAAAATAAAAATATATTAAAAACATGCTAAAGAAACATATTTTTAAAAACAAAAAAGAAAAAAAAATAAGGTGCTTTTGCACAAGTCCTACCCGATTCCCATGTATTCACATATCAAACACTTGAAACCTCGATTTCAATGTATATGACACCTCTTCAATAAACAAGCTTCCGTTTTCCATGTTAAGGAGGACAAATTATTCCGCAAGTTTGTTATTTATGATTGTCAGGTCCTGCAAGAGATTAACATGAAACAGCATTTTCAACCAACATTTTTTTTTTTTTAAATTTGCACAAATTAATATTATGATGATAATTTTCAAATTAAAACGTTGAAAATATTAAAAAAGAAGACGATGTTCTCATTACCTATTGCTGGTTAAGTTAATTTCTCATCCCAAATCCATTACGTCTCCTACCTTTCACTCCTTTGATTCAAAAAATAATTATTCATATTTGGTCTTTTCTCACTTGACTTTCCACGTCTGACATTGAAACCTTAAATATTTAATTCTTGAAGACAAATACCTCTGATTATCAACGAGAGTTTTCATTCATTTTTTAAATTGTCATTCAAATATTAAAATTCATGATAAAATCCAAATCATGTTTTTTTTATTTATGATCATGGCATGCATCAATGGATCGGTTTGATAGTTCAAAATATCACCTAGTTACTTGATTTATAAATATTAAAATTTCAGGTGTTCTGTATGTAATCGTCCCAAAAAACATTAATACTTTTTGACGAAAAAAATCATTGATAACTGTTAAAAATTCATAAATAATTTATTTTGAAAATAGATTTTGATCCATTGACAAAATTTGCAGATAAAATTAATTATAAAATCAATTCTAAAGGACAAAGAATCCACAGACTTTTTTTTTTCAACGATTTATCCGTCCTACAAAACAAATCTAAAACAACAATAAAACAGTTATTTTTGGAGAAAATGAGGGTCACACTCAGTTTTATACAGACACTAACGAAGATTACAAATATGAAATAAACCAAAATAGCTATAAAAGGAACATATAATTTTGATCTTAGAAAGTAAGAAAACAAAGGACTCATCAATTAGATTAGATCCATGAGGTAGCTAGGTGTCTATTAAAGCAGCCTTCAAAAATCTAATAACAAGAGGAGCACTTCTATTAAGAAATGAATTAGAGCACCCAATTTAAAATCAGTAGCCATAAAAAGAAAAAATAAAAGGTAAATAGAAGACAAATCCATAGCAGCTATAGAAGATCTCAACAAGCACATAATTGATTATTTTATCTCCTATATGTTATTGTTGAACATGAAAAATGAACATAGAAGGAAAGTCTTATAAAGAAAAAAACCCAAACCCCATCATAACACTATCAATAATCCAAATTCCAGACATTTATCCAAAAGGATAACCACAAGAATGAGAGTAATCATAAGATAGAACCAATTGATAGTTGGGCGCAGGAGCCAATAAGATTCATCATAGCTATCCAAAGCATCTAATAATTAAGATGCATAAAATCAGGTATTATATATAACTCATCAAAAATATGACAGCAAGACCAGCAGAGAAATTTGTACATATCAAATAGCAGAAACGATTTCCAGAGATAAAATCTATAGAAAATAAAAGAGTTCATCTCTATCTCTTGTTAAATAAAAACCATTGCAACACATAACAAGGAGATACCTATAGTTCATCAGAATAACAAAGTATCATCAAATATTATAGTCTTTGTGATCCAAATGAGCTATAATAACTAATAAAGCGCTTTGATATGATGAAGAACATCCTATCGAATTTTCCACTTTCTGCTTTTAAATTTTTCAGCCCACTTAAATGTTTTGAGAAAGTGTTCAACTGAGATAATAAAACTTCTACAAATTCTATCTTTGCTTTCAATCCAAATATGGTGAGTAGTAACATGTGCTGCAAGCATATAAAATATCTTAGCCACTTTATTCATGGTATAAAATTTGAAATATATTACCATGGACAATTAAGAAGCTTCCATTAGGGTAAAATCATATTAAATGAATTGTTGTTTTCTGCTCTTACATTCGTTATTTCTACTCTACAAGCCAAAGCTGATGCTGTTATTGCTACTTTATTTATTGCTATCTCTTGTAATTGGTTTAGATTAGTGGTGAAAATGGATTCTACTACACTTTGGAGAGCATGTTCCTCCTTATCTTCTACTCACTGGCATATTAATCTCATGTTAAAAAGATAATTCAGCTTTCTCAAGTTATTTCTATTCAATAGTATTATATTCCCAACAAAGGTAATCATCCAGCTGATGGGTTAGCTGAAATGGGAGCATCTTCTCAACAGATCTTTGTTAATAATATTACTCCTAGACCTTTGCTTCTTATGATTAACGGAGACTTACTTGATATTCTCTTTATTAAAGCTTCCACTTTTACTTTATTGCTGTTTGTTTTTCCGGTCATATTTATTGCTTCGTGAGCTGTACCTTCGATGGAAATTTCTTAAGTTTTCTTTTTCTGTGATATTTGGGTTTAGCTGGAACTTCTAACCTGCCTTCATATTTTTTCTCTTATTAATAAAGTTCTCTCTGGGATTGCTTAAAACAGAAAGCAACTCAAATGATGAATTCAATACTCTCATCCTATATGAAGACGATGATAGAGAAGTTATTACGTCTGATATATCGAACGTGCGTACAACGGCATGATTCGCACCACTGTCATGATGCTTGAAAATTTTATGATCTTGGAAGGGTTTTTCTAAAAATCCTTCTTGATATGTAGAGAGGTAATATTTGGTATAGAACAGGAAGTGACTCTTCTCCTCACGCTCACTGTAAAGTAGAAAAACACATTAAATCATTTCAAGACATGCAAGGCAAAGGTGAACTCCATCACCAACCGTTTTACATGAATTATAATTATGCCACTACAAACTTTTTATATGATAAGACGATTAATGAATACTTCCAAATAAATGTAAAGCAAATTTTACACCTATTTCATACACCCAAAGTCTTACTATACCTATTAGAGCATAGTACAACTATTGAATAAGCAATAGATGATTAAAATGCTAATATTAACATATAAAAACAATAAGATCATAATCATATTGTCCGAAAAGAAATACTGAATAGCCTTCATTGGCCCGCAAATGTAGACAATATACGAAAACATACAATAGAAACATAAGATACAATTCAGACACAAGAACTAGAGGCGCAGATGCCAACAAATAATCTAAACTTGCCTTCAGATAGATTTTGGGCCTCCAAAAAGCATGGCCCATCTGTCCAATCAAATTTTGAAATGTGAAGATTCAGTACTGTTTGATATATTTTTCTCTTTTTTTGGTGGCATAAAACTTAAATCCTCACGCAGAAGCACATAATTCAGACCAGCGAAACGGTTCAAAATTGATAGAGCGATAGGAAAATGACAACATGGAAACTACGAACTGGAGATGAAAGTCCCAACATAACCTAAACCCACAATAAGAAATGCAATAGATTGTAGATATATGTATATGAAGTAGTAATCCGCTCCATAAGTCAGATCATAGCTTGCACATAGGACGAGAAAGAAGGCAAATCCGAGTTCCGGAAAGTAGAACCTGGTGATTCAATTTTATATGAAATTAACTATGAAATGTCAGCTGAAACAATGTTATTTATAAATTTTACCAAACCTGTGACTGAGCTTTGGCGAAGCCTTTTCAATTAAATTGGTTTCGGGCAAGAGTTTTTCCTTTATTGTGCCACCAAGCTTCTCTGTAACAACCCATTCATTTGCACTTCCACCCTCCCATAGACCAACGATGGTCGCTTTCACACGGTGCATGGCCATAACATTTTCAAAAAGAATCCAAAATGGTATTACATGTATAGAACTGCACAAAAAGGAGTGAAAAATAAAAATTTGATGTATTCAGATCAACAGAACAAACTAGAACCCACCGAACCGAACCAAACCATTTATGGGTGCCACAGTCAAATCATTGGAAATTTGATAAAAATGAAAAGGAGGTGTTTATAAATACACAAATCTTATGTATTTGCATATCTAATACCTAAATTGTACTTCTTATATTTATACAACCCAAATCTTTCATATCCCATAATAAATACCAACAATTTGAACATCTAAAAAGTGAAATCCCATTTTCGTGAATAGGCAAGGTGTTATGTACGTAAAATTTTTCAAATTTTTCAAGTAGAGGTGTAGATATTTAAATACATAGGAATTAAGTGTTATGTGTGTAGATCTTCCAAATGAAAATTAAGGGTTGGGTTTTTGTTTTAAGGTTTTAAATTTGAGTGAGGATTTGAAAAATGGATGAAAAAGGATGCTAGCTTCAGGAGTAGAAATGTTTTGAGCGCTGTGTATGTAATTGCCCAAAAAAGACAAAAAAAATGAATTAAGAGAAGGGAAACCATGAAAAAAAAAAACAGAGAGGATTCACAAACCTAATGTTTCTGATAGCATTGAGAATAGTAATTGTGGTTGGAATGAAAACTACTCCCCATGTTGGAATGGAAATTTCTGGAACCAAAACAGACGCTGGAATGATGACACAATAGAGTGCAAAGGTGACGATATGAGCCACTACCTTCCGCACGAAGAAAAAGCTGTATAGTAGATAAAGCTTCTTCCATAATGACACGCCCTGCTAATACAGAGAAAGCTCAATTTTCGTGTGATAATATACGTATAGATTTCATCAAATACTAAAAATAAAGAGAAGCTTGGCTTCACCTTGGTCGTCCATATCTCAAAGGCTGATTTTCTCAAGAGATTTGAGGCACCACACGTCCAGCGATGCTGCTGGTGACGATATGCAGCAAAAGAGCCAGGTAGCTCACTTTTCACCTAATGATTACAAAAATCATCACTACTGCTCCTTTAAGCCCAAAACTTTATCACACTGAGAGAAAGGACTTCATAGAATTGTTTGAGAAAAAGAAGAGACTCGGATAATTAATGACATCAAGGTTTTATACTCTTAAGCAAACAAGGACTTTTAATATTTAATCTGACTTAGCATAATGCAAATTTTATAAGAGAAGGATTCTACAGCCAATTTATCTGGCATAACTTTTTCAAAGGCAGCATTAAAATTCAAATATTATTACGAGAAAGCAGTGCAAGATGAGATAGTGCTTCTTAGAAACTGTTCTCAGTTGGACATTAGACAACATTAGCTGCAATTTTCCAAAATGAAAAACGTTTGGGGAAGAATTACTTAAATTTTAAGGTTAACTTGTGGAAATAATTTATTAACAATTGAGAAAGAATAGCCTAATGAAGCAACAATAAAGTCCAATACCTTGAGATCACCAACATATAAGAACTTCCAACCTTTGAGACTTGCCCTAACGGCCAAATCCATGTCCTCTACTGTAGTTCGATCATTCCAGCCTCCAGCCTCTTTGATGGCTGATATTCGCCAGACCCCTCCAGTGCCTGCAAGGACACAAGGAATTGATGTCCCGATAAATTACTCTCTTTTACAAGGATTCATATTTGGATGATATTGCAATTTAATCATTGCCAAAATAATTTTAAGAAATCTGTTTTCTCAGAAAATCATCCCTCGGTTATGTCTTTTAGCATAAAAGAACATCAAGTTTTAAAATTTCTAAGTACCAAGATTTATTGATAATTCATAAAGTACGAATTAGTAAAAGATACTTTTCTTAAACAGCATTTTTTTTATGTCCTTGCATTGCATGAATATTATTGATACTTGACTAAAAGCTAACAAATATATAAAAGATAAGAGTCTGGTAGAATGTTTTATTAAGTTTTGAAAAAAATATATTTTCTGATTAAGTGGATTGGATAGGGTTAGCAACAGTTTACCATTAAATCCAAAGAATGAATAGGTGGATGAACCAGCTTCCTGCTCCACTTTAAAATGATAATCTAATGTCATCCTCTGTATTCTTGTCATCAGGCACTCATTTGGGTTCACTGCAAAAAGCGTCCGGGAAATGCCACGTCAGCAACTTCCTGTCAATTTAAAAATACTTATATCAGAATGAATTTAAGCTTCCTACCTAAAGAACAAACATAAGAAAATAACAAGGTTGCATTTGGCCCCATCAATTACTCTTTATGTAGTTCAATATGTTCCATGAACAGGTGTCACGAAATAGGGTGCTATTTGGTATGTGCAGGCTCATGTAGAGCTTGCTAGGTGAGATATTTTCTGCGAGGCAATCATCATAAGTAGAAACACAGAAAGATAAAGCAAATGGTAAGAAAAAGGATTCAAAAGACCCTCATTCTCAAGGCCAGAGAGGCTCAGACGGTCTTCCTTTCAAGCAAACTATCAAAATACTAAGATCTTAAAAACTGGAATGAGTCGATCTGTTCAACCGGTTCAATCATGAACTAAGCATATGGCCAGTTTGGGTTGTCTTAATAACCGTTTTTGCATCAAACTAGCGAAAACCGATGTGAACTTCCGATTAAACTAACGAACAGGTTATAAAGAACCTGTCAGTCCAAATTACCTATTTAATTACCTTTAATTCTTAATTGAATGCTAAAAAGTCTTCATATGACCGAATTTAATAAGTTTTCAAAAGTCAAACATATAATTATGAATTTAAAACTTTATATTTAGTAATTAATATCATTTTAATCAAATTAATTGGAACAATGGAACAATTTTTACATAAACAGTGAAAAAAAAAGGTCTCATTCATGATATAGGACTAAAAAATTGGACGCACTAAACTGTAAAAATGAAGAACTGAAATGAGCTTTTGAAACATTAAAGGGGTTGCATAATGCAGGCATATAATAACAACAACAATCCTTTATCCCACTAAGTGGGCATAATGTGGGAATATTATGATAAAATTTTTATTTTTATTTTTTTATATTATAATTTTTTTAATCTTATTAATTACTATAAATTATATCTCAACTATAATTAATTTATTTTTGTTTATATTTGTTATTTTTTATTTTCTAAATATTAATATATATATA